TCGGCTGATTCCGTGTGTATTGATGACGTCATGGGTTGACACTGGCAACGCAGCACGCTCTCGGCCACACCATAACAAACCCCAGCATAGACTAACTGTATGATTAGCAGTTGCAGTCAATTTAGACAGATAGCCTGTTATCGTAATTTTGTCTAACGGTAGGTACAATATCTTTAATGCACAAAAGAGCCTATATAGTTTGAAAGAGTTTCATAAATGATTGTAAAAGCTTTTAAAAGCGTTAATATTTTTGATATGATATTTTTTGGTTTAAGATAATTCGACTTATGATCGTGCGTACGTGTCATCAGTGGTAGTTTGTTGCTGAATATTGTGACACTCAAAACATAATTGGTTATAACAAGATCACATATTTATATGAGAATTCTAATGGCCATTCTACGAGCAGGTTTGCGAAAAAAAAAAGGAACTAGGTTCATGTTGTACCTTACACTAGTGTACATATGTAGTTACAGTGTGTGTAGTACGACTTGTGATAAGTCATGTAGTTTTTCGATACCTGTTTTTCGTTCAAATCATTGAGTCGCAATTTTGAGTCTTGTGCATTTTAAAGTCAAGTACTCATATTGGTTGCATTTAGATTTCAGATGCCAACCATGGCTTCCCTTCCTTATGGAAGCTGCTCCGCCCATATTCAGGCCAGTAAGGGAGCAGATTCCAACATCATGAAATTCTACTGCACAGAGCATGCCTCTAATTATGGCAAAAACTGGGAGAAATTCCGCCCCCGTCCATCTAGACACACAGGAACTGGATATCTGTCTAATTTCCGTCCTGGAGTGTATTATAGCAGAAGATTAGATGATGTAGATAACCCAGCTATGGCGTATGTGATCCTTTTTTATTTATTTATTTATTTATTTATTTATTTTATTTTATTTTATTTATTTATTTATTTATTTATTTATTTATTTATTTATTTATTTTTATTTTTGCTATGGAGACATCAATACTTATTGCACAATTTATAATCCATTAAACTAAATTGGTTTTTGCAACATTTTCCCCTACAGATTTTTTTGTTACAGAATTATTTCTCTGACATGTTTCTTTTTATCCCAATTATGTAAGATTAGTGTGCGCACCATGTGTAAGATACATGTGCATACTTAACATGTTTTACCCTCTTTAAATACAGTTTATTATTATTATTATTATTATTATTATTATTATTACAGGCGCTTGATAGCCAAAAACTATCACTCTGTCACAGAGCTTGCATTTCAACCATACAAAGTGAGTTCCAGTGGCAAGGATCCACTGCCAATGAGTGTGTACCAAGCAGGCAGTGGTTTTATCCGTCAGAAGCCCATCACCGCTCCCACCAGCAGGGCAGTACAGAGTGTCTGTATTGACACCAGAATGTCGAATGCATCGGCAGATATTTTGCCAAGATACAAACCACTGCTGCACAAGATCCAGTCTAAGGATGCTGTGGAATTAGAAAATTCTGGCTATGTAAGTGTATGCAAGAGAATATATGTTTGTCATTTTGTGAATATCCTGGCATAATATTTGGAATTATAGGTTTATAAAAATTCAAATTTTATATGATGTTTCACTCATGATAATTAATTTTTCATCATAATTCTTGTTTTTAGGGTCCAGGTTTTATGACAACTGAAACTAAGGAGCGATTCAAAGGACAACCAAGTGAAAGAAGTAAGTACAATATGCATGAGATATTATTCATTTTAATGGTTAATGGTACTGGGTCCACCAGACAAGCAAGCAATCCCCCCACTGCTCTCACAATAACAAACACCAAAAAAACAATATTCATGAGATCAAACAATGAACAAAAAGCATTTTAATATTAAAATATAATTTAAATAATTAAAATAACCTTGTTATTTATGAAGATCAACTTCGATGACACATGCTTATTTGAAGATGTCACACTTAAATTTGCTGTTTAAATTTTTCTTCAGTGGACACAACAATGAAAACTCTTGGACCCAATGAAGAAACTGGATTCACACATGCTTACAATGTAGAGCCTGTCACCTACCACCCGGGATCCCCATACAAGGGCGACAGACCAGTATGTGACATTTTTCCAGACTATTTTAGAATATTCTTGAAGCACTCTCTGTTCCCTCAACAAATAAGAATGACGAAGCTTCCTTGTCTATCTTTTTGCCCAAAGCAGATCTTAAAATGAAGATAGATTTATTTAATGTAAAAGATACTTAGATAAGTATATAGTAGTCTTTTTAAATTAAATAAGTTATATTTTTTAAAATTTCATGTATAAAAAAACTTTGAGGCAATTGTAACCAAGATACCACTTTTTTTTCCAGGGATACATCACAGATAGACCTACTGGAAGAAGTATCATGAAGACACATTTCCAGCCTTCAGAATTTTTACATGTAAGTGATTCCATGAGATTATGTTTAGAATGTGAAAATGGTGCCATGTTCAACTGAGCTACAAAAAAAAAGAGATTGTAAGACTGCAAAGTGTAATGAACAGAGTGAAAAAAAATTCTGTCCAATCGTTGCCAAAAGCATGTCAATTTGTTACGCTCTACCAGGGTGACAGATTGATTTTTCACAAATATTCACGGATGTGTCTCTAGATAAATATTCTATTTTCCCCTATATAATCTGCCCCCTGGTAAAGGGTATCAATTTGTACAGTTTCTATCATAAAGCCAATGACACTGTTGACTTGTTATATGTTTATGCTCGAGGATTATCAGTCTGTGGAACTCTTATTTCAGGGAGGAGAGCCATTACCAACCATTCCTATTGGGTCTGAGCGGGGGACAGGTTTCACTGCCGGCACCAAAGCCAGACCAGTGTTTGTTAACAGGGTGATGGGAGATGTGAGTTTTCAGAATGTTGTGTCAAATAAGAGCCCAGTTTCACCATGGCTTTCTTAAACTAGCAGTTGTCATAACTGGTTTATCTTTTAATTTTCATGAGCATTTGAAAAATTACAATGTCATCAAGATTTCTTTAGTCGCATGATAATTGATAAAGACAGCTTTATAAATAGTTACTGATATCTTAAGATTTGACAACAAAACACAAAAGGTAGATTTTAAATGCTAAAGCTTATTTTGATCATTTTAGGCATATGACAAAGCCGATGACATGCCTCGTGCAAAACTGGAGAGAACTAAGAAACAGGACCCTACAGAATACATGAATATGACACACCCTAACAATTATACAAGGTAGGTTAGCTGTCTTTTGTTTCCCAACAATAGAATTGAATATGCGTATTTGCATATATTTTGATGGGAATCAAGTACTCGTTCCCACATATCTATATTTTTTTCAAGAACCACTCAGTAAACTGTAAATCTAATTTTAAAAAAATATAAAATAAATTGAAAAAAGGTGTTTTTAATGAAATATTTTTCATATTTTTGAAGTTTGTTTGATATTTGTTTTCTCAGTCTTGCCAAAGATACATTCCTTGGTCAACAACGTCCAGATAAAACAGAAGCTGATCGCCTGGAAACGACAGGAGTTGGTTTCAAGGAATTGACAGGGTTTAGTGAAAATAATGACAGATTTGTGCAAACATCTGATAATCCGAGGAGATTCATTACACATTATGCAACAAGGTATGAGCATATATAATTACACCCAATCATGTTTAGAAATTTTACCCAAAGAAAAACCTTTTATTTGTAAGGATTTTAAAAAATAATTTTTTTAATGTGACATTATTCTTCAAGTAAAAAAAAAAAAAAAAAGAATAAAGCCAGAGAACATTCATGACCATTGTCTGTTTTTCTTTTCTTTCATTTGCTCAATGAGTTCACAATTTTTTTCAATTTTTTCAGGTTTCCTGATCCTACCCCAGAGGACAAGGAAAGAGAGGGCCACTGCAGAGGTGGAGTGCATCTGCAAAAGTCTGATGGTTTTACAAAAAGCACAGCTGTACATTCATATGGCCCTGACATTAATACTACTGCAACTCTTAGGTCATTACATCCTTATGTGGGAAGGTAAGCAAGTTTTTATTACATACGTGAAATAGAACTAAATATCTCAAAAAAGTTAAGGCAAATATTGTTATATGTTCAAATTGCGTGGTTACGTTTTTATAAGGGTACAGATGGATTACTTCTAAATACCTCTTAATGTGAAATGTAATGATACTTGCATATATAAGCTCCTACGCTGCTTGGTATTGTAAATGATTGTTTTTATTTTTTTACAGGAGTATTAGAGCACGGGACTCCTACTTTGATGATCATACCCATGACCTGAAATTACACAGAAGTGTGACTGTTGCTTGAAATAAGGATTTATTAGCATAATATTTTTTCACTTTGTCCGTGGATCCTGTTGAAGGAATCTGGTCATGTAAACAGTCAAACTCTCTTAAGAAATCATTGAACAGATGGACAAACTTGAAAACCTTTCAATGAACAATGTTTATATTATGTGGCTCTTGTTAGAATTTTCGTAAATGCCATTGGAAAGTGACACTTAAAGTGTTTGTGATAATTTTTTTAATTGCTAGTGTAGATGTTTTTTCAAGCTTGCCAAGAAAGAGGAGAGAACTTTTCCCACCTATCACTCGTTTTCATTTCATCGTCATAAAACAAACATCATTTCATTTGTACTTTTGAATATCTAACATAATGTATCCTTTAATCAATGTGATAATAATTTGCAGTATGGATGCTTTTGTTTAAATTTTATCCCCATTTCTTGTGCAGTACTACTTAGAGTTGCTCAAATGATGTACGACTGGCATTTACACATTTTCCATAATGAAATCTATTTCAATTTTTAATGTAAATAATTATGTGATAAAGTGACTTTTGACAGCTGTGGTCAAAAAATATATATACATGCTGCTGAATAAACTATTTTTTCTTATATTTTGTTGTCCAAAAGGGATACTTTTCTTAAATTGAATAAAATATTGGTGTAATGACTAATCATTATAATAATCCAGAGGATAGTAAAGGAAAACAAAATCGGCCATTATATTTAAAACCCAGTATAAAATGCTGTTTATTTTCTGCAAATTGGGTGCATTTCTCTCACACAGAGCAGTTCAGTTCAAACTGGTGCTTTGAAAGCAAAAAATACTTATAATTACCAGCACAACAATACAGCAAAATGCTACCATAATCACACACTTGTCACTTTTGAATGAGACAATTTTACAAAGATCTTTTCAATATAAACCTATACTTTGGCAAACATTTTCAGTCATTTTGATGCAATTTCTTTTTTGGTAACATTTACACTGCAATAAAGGCAATATGCAACCATCAACTAAGAGCATACAACATCAAGGCTATCACAGAGACATGACAATTTCTACATGAAACATATTCACTTGCTAAGTTTACACTTAAAAATTTAATCAGCTGTCACTCCCCCCCCCCCCAATTCCTCCCTTCATAATTACTACAAACGTGATATTCCAAACAGTTTAATGCTATAATTTTAATTTGAAATTGAAATATGAAATTTGGTTAACCCACACTTTTGTCTTATAAAAACCTTATTTCAACATTTGCTTCTTATAAACACTCCATATCAAAATTAACATTCTTTTTAGAACCAGAAATACTAATACTCCCACAAAGGACACTATATAAACTAGGTCAACATGTGACCATCAAAATCTTCTAAATGTAAGTATAATGTTGCACAATGGAATGTTTTCTTGTTGCATTATTAACACAAACTGTACTGCGGCAAGCTTCTGCAACAGCAAGCAATAGAAACCTGCAATTCAGACACAAAATATTTTCAAAATCTTTCACATTTGCTGAAAGAAAGTAAAAATTAAGTAAATATGTACATATATAACCATGAGGAAAAAACAGCGACACAATATGTGTTAACATTTTCTATAAACATCATGTGGGTTATTTAAAAACAAAATGAACTATTTACTGTAAAAATATCATTCTAACAACAGTACAATCACAGCAGTCCTATTTTATTTCTTGACAAAAAGGATGCCGTTTCCTGTGCAGATACTACCTTTTTTTCCCCCATACGATACAAAATACTATTGCATTCATAAAATGGCACACAATACATAAAGATATATCAGCTTCATGAGCAAGTACACCTAAACACAACCTCAGCATACCAGTATTAAGACAAAGAAAAGTAATCAGGCAAATGTATTGCAAAATTTTTTCATTTAATATTTGCATATTAAGCATTCCTCAACAATAAATATATACATCGCATCAGTCAAATTTTGTTTTGGCAAGTATTACTGGAAGATATCAGTAGTAAAAAGCTGTCACAACAACATAAAAGCACGTAGAAGAACTAACAATAAATATACAAAAAAATTCCCCACTGATGACATACTAGGTATCACAACTTAAAAACTACCACCCAGAATAAAATCTTCCAGTGGGTATACTGCTGGCAATTAAAACGTATCCCAAACTTGCCTTCTTTCTCCTGGCATTGCAGACAGGACGATAACAATAAAAGATAAACGAAACATACATGTATGATATGTATAAAGAATTGGTTTCTATCAAAATCAAACTAAGCTTTAAGCAAATACAATTTGGTGGTACTACAATTTGGGAACAGCATGGTTTTTATGTAAAATATTTTCTCTCACGTTTTAAACAAATGTACAATGAGAAACAACTATCCAAATTGGAAGTAATTTGAAGCATGTTTCATTTCAGATGTGCTCCGAGTATACTCATATTAGAAAGTGCTATCTTTTTCACTTGAGACTTCAAATACCTCATCCAACTCTTCGTGAGGGGAGGGCAGAAGTTTCAATTGGTCATCCGACTTTTTGTTACTTTCCGATTTTGACAATACAGTTTGCATTGCCGGTGAACTAAAATGTCTCTGCCGCATCAGCTTAGTGGGAGTGTCCTCACTGTCTTTGTCCTCAAAGACAGGTTCAGTGTCCTCCATTTCTTTAATATCTTCAATATCTTTGGTTCTGTGTATCTGGTCTGGCTTGTACACAGCGTGGTCCAAATGGGTGTCAGATTCCGAGTGCTGAAATGGTGCCTGGTAACCCCCATGAGGGTAGCCACGCCCCCCTTGAGAATAATGGCCTGTCACATCATTATATAACTGCTGGTTACCATGGGTGGGGGAGTGAGGGACATACCCATTTTGGGTACAATCTCCTTCACTAATAGCCTGACGCGCACTTGAACTACTCTCAGCAAACGTAAGTTTATACGAGTCTGTGCACTCTGCCTTTTTCAATTTCTCTCCAATTATCTGACTTCTGGTATTGAAGTCAGACAGTTTACTGCTGCCATCACCTTCAGCATTACTGTCAACAACGTCAGCATCAGGATTCTCATCCTGATCAAGATTCAATTGCTTGGGGTGAGATTCAACTTGTGCTGTAGTGGTGATTGTGTTTCTATATGGCGTAGACTGTGCAACAGGAGGCTGGGCGGCCCAGTTAAGAATATCAGACAAAGTGCTGTCATTCCCTCCGTCCTGCACAGTGCTGTGTAATGGAGTAGGTGGCGGCGCCACACTGCCGTCCCCTCCTTTAGACTTATGATGACTGGGGGAGGCAGCAATGGGGTCCATTTTGTCGAACCCTTCAGAAAGTTTCAAAAAACCACCGAGATACTTCCTAGACCCACTGCTACTGGAGCCCACACTGGAGGTATCGGAGAGGCTTTCAGGAGTAGCAATGGGGGCTGGCTCCACATCTACCATCACAGGCTGCCTCCCACTTCTGAAGGGATACGTTCTAGACCTGTTTAAACTTCTGGTAGGGGAACTGCCTAATTCATCAGTCAAAAATAACTGGGTCTGTGTGGCCGTCTTCTCCCCTGGCTTGACTACCACCCCAGTGGGGTTGGCGTCATCTAGTTTATCTGGGGTGGAGACGGCTGCCTCTAGAGGAGATGTATACTCCCAGCTCAGACTGGAATGTCTACTGGGGTTGGGAATATCAGGCTCCTCAGGAAAACTGCCAGTGTAGCTGGACTCCAGACACAGGCTGAAACAAGAGCAAAGAGACTGTATAAGATAAGAATTTTTAGCTACCATAAAGTCATAATCCTTTGATAGCAGGAAAAATCTCATTACTGTTGTAAGCACCAACACCACCCACATAGTCAGAAATCCAAAGTTAGTCGGAAAATTTCATAATTGTTGACAGCACCACACCAACTAAAATGTTGAGAATCTGCCAATAGTTGGAAAAATATAATCCCTGTTGTAATTGTATGCTCTTTGTCTAAGATCCATTAATCTTTGCTTCTCAGGAATTTTCTCTTATTCAGAGATGAGATTGCCATTTAGAGAAAAAGTCCGGAAATATGGCATGGAGTCCTAAGGGCCCTCTGCGTTGATCTCATAAATGATATTTTTGGCTCCCAAAAAGTCTGAAATCTGCTCATCAGATGCCTTGTTTTTTTTCCCTTGGCAAAAAATTTATGCATTTAAAGTAAAGACTATAATTTGCAGGTAATTTGCTTTATCTTAACTCAACTGATGCAAATTCAAAGTGACAATCATCTATCAAATGAAACATCTACGAGATAAAATCTACTATTCTGACACCCCTGTGAGCTTTTTTCTTAACAGAACCTTATTTTAACTTGTTTTCTTGGCATAATATAAAACAAAGTAAATCCTAAAACTGGTAGTTTCTTACTTGTCAGGCCTAGGAGCTCTCATCTCCATAGTATCCGTAGTATCTGATGTCAGGAGAGCTCTCCTCTCGTGTTCTGGAAGTCTACGACTTGGTTTACTTGGTCCAACATTCACAAGCACCTAGAATTCAAAATAATTAAGTTTCAAATATAAAACCATTGCACCAAAATAAAGAAAAAGCATTATTATTATATTTATTATTCATGGTTTATGAGAAGAAACCAACCAAATTGCAATGAAATAGACTTAGTTTATTAACAGCATGTCACATGAATCATATCAATAACAATGCTTTGGTCAACTTTGTGAAGCCCCTCTAACATTCATAAAATGAAGATCTGCCCGCCCGCAGAGGTTGATTTTATCTTTTTAGTGCATAAAGTATAAAACAATACTCTGGAATCAAATAAACATTATCTAGCAAAACATTTATATCCTTAAAATCAATCAAAGTTTATCAATAACAAATCTTTCTACTTTTTTACTTCATCATACTAAACTATCTTAAGTAGTTGGTAATTATCTAATAAGCTGCCCTTTTGCCTGGGCACCAGTACCTTATTCAGGGCTTCCATGACCCTCTCTGGCATATGGTCTGTCATCATTCTAGGGGAAACTAAAATCTCATGGAAGTCATTGTTGTCTGCCCATATGGCTTGGTATACTGGCTCTCTGGAACCACACACAGGTCTGCAACATAGCATTTAAAACAGGGAATCAACTTGTTCTTCATCTTCAAAAGAAGCTTAAGTGACACAAAAGCAGTTTCAATTTTCAAAATGCAATGTTGTGATAACAATACACATGTAGCAACCTTTATCTGAAACCATTGTTCTTCAGGCAGAATAAAAATAAGACCTGTGATTTAAAAATTACTAGCAGTGCACAAACTATGAATTGCAAATAATTACACTGAAAGCATGCACATCTTTAAGACATGTTGAAGTCATGGGGCTATTTGAACAGAGGATCTTACAGTAAAGAAATCACACTTTGTCCTTACCCATCTGATTTCGGATGAGCTCTAACAATGTGTATGATTCTACCAGGAGGATATAGGGGCTGACTGGGTGGCTGACTGATTTGGTCAATAGACGAGTGATTAGCGGAGTCGGAAGTTCTCGGAGTCCGTGAACCCCTGTTGAGTTCTTCTTGGAAGTCATAAAAATAACTCTCCATATCGGTAGGGCAGCAGCGACACATGCCTCCTGTGATGATCCTCCACTGGAAGTACACAGAATGTTATTACAGATATTAAGAATGACTTTGTATTTAAACAAATGCCCCCCCTCTTTACATTATTACATTACAGAGAGAAGATAGGTATTTTTTGCCTTATATTTTTTTACATAAGTTGACAAGACATACCCAGGGTTTTCAATAGAAATTATTCTTGCATCGAAAGTTAAAATAATTTGTATGAGATGATGTAAACTTTTATTGACATGTGGTTTAAACTTTTGTCACTACCTACCTTGGAACTTCTACTCCTTTTGATGATGTTGATTAAGTTTGCACGGACTGTTTCTAACTGAGGAAGCCCAAGTCTGGAAAATAGAACATTTTTATTAACATAATTATATATTAACATCTTAATTCAGAGTATTCATTATTTCATTCTTTTTTTCTAAAACTGAATAAAAAATTCTGAGATCATATATTAAATATTCTGTATCATTTTAAGCACATTCAATTAGTTCACCGCACATTTATTACCTTGTGATAATATCTTTGCCAACAACCACTGAAGTAACATAAGATTTGGACTCCTCCATTGCAGCTTTGCTGAAATATAAAAAGGAATATAAGACCTTTACCTGTAAATCTCACAAAGTCTGACTGCATAACTGCTTTTAAAAACCATTTTTATTGGTCAAAACTTGAAAATTTAGTGCAGATTTCAATGGATGAAAATAAGTGTCACACAGATCGCAAACTATGTATAGTATGGTTCAGAACTACTCTGACAACCCAGTGAAGTAAAAGGAATAAGCATGATCATAAAACTACAATTTAATGTTTCTTATGAAGAAGCTAAGACTACTACACAATATTTACAAAATAAACAATACTCTGCCCATATCCTATATGAATCTTCTTCATTTCTCATCAAAAGAAAATTTTCTGTTTTACCTCAGCAACCCCCCAGGTGGAGAGTAGGCATAGCAATGCAGAGTTGGATATTCCTTCTGGAGTAACATGGCCAGGATAGCAGCTGTCCCTGCACCTAGGGAGTGACCAACTACCACCACACCATAGGCCTGGCCACTTGGGTCCTCCTGGGAGATTGAAATATTTTTTAAAAAATTTGAGATATATTTTACCACTCAGATAACATTTTGGCTTGCTTATAGTACCAAAAACATATCAGTGAGGCTTGAAATAGATTAATATTTTATGAAAGCTTTAAAGCAAAAAGATGTTATTTTATGAGGAAGCTGACTACATAAAAGCTAAACTTCAACTGGCTCAAAATAGAATAATTGAGTCAAATTCTTCTGGTGAATGTCAAAGAATATTTAGTACTTAAATTTCATTTTCTTAGCTATAATTGATCAGTTAAAGTCTTTGTTGAAATAATTCTACTTTGAGTTGAATAATAACTCAAGCAATAAATTAAAGTACATGACATAATCCGACTGCTTATACAACACAAAATAAAGTTACCACTCTTCAGTCTTTTATTTGTAAATTTTCAAAAGGTTTATGGCAAAAAAGCTGTACGTTCAGTGACTAAAATGATTAACAACTGAACAAACAAATGGTTTTCCCTGTACTCACTGCCTGACACCTGCTCTGTGCCTGTTGTATCAGTCTTCCCTCCTTCAGTTTACTCTGGACATACTTGGCAGCCATCACTATGCCCTGAATGTGCAATATTATAATTCTTTTTAATATGTGAGGATGATTTTGGATTAAAGTTATTCAAAAACTTGCATCCACTTCAACCTTCTCAAAAACATCTCAGAATGACAATGCCCTTAAGCTTTTGATTGTTATTACTGTCTTTGCTATCTGTTAATGATTGTTACAACAATAAACAAATCACCATTACAAAACAAGGTCTCTGCGCTTTTATTCAAGAAGAGAGAACAACAGCCTGCAAGCCACTGCCAAGAACTGTTCAGCTGAACTTGTGAACCACACAGTAAACATTGCATCTATATGGTAAATATTGGCATGTTTGATAACAGGTTCCGGGTAGTCAAAATTGCTATTGCTTTTTATCTTTATCTTTATTTGCTTTTTATCCAGAGAGAAAAAAAAAACATCTCACCTTATGCCCAAGCCAGTCTTCTCTTGGTGGATCGACAGGGAGAGGTTCCACGTCGGCAGACAAATCTGTGAGGACATCTTCAAATGATAAAGTCCCTCTGATTGCTATCACTATCTTCTTGTACTTCTGATCAATTGCCACATAAAAAGGGGTCTCATCAATCTAAGCAGAGAGAAAAATACAGTTATATATTTCACACAGATTTAAAACCTTTTCTTCGAGAATCCCAAAGCAAATGGTTCCAAATCAGAGCAAAAAACTCTGAGTCAGTGATAAGGTCATAGTGAGGGGAAAAATTTAAGAAATATGATATCAGTAGACACAAATATAACATGAAAAATCTAAGAAATTGTGTGAAGCTGTCACGTAACACACCTAACTGCCTTAAAGCACAATAATGGCAGCACCAAGTTTACTATCCTAATTCTAATACTTGTACAGATTAATGGAAAACGCCCACCTGATTGTGCCATGTAACGTAGACCAAGTCTGCCTCCCTGCACCCAGATCTTTTCAGAAGAGCAGCATAATGGCAGCTACAACAGTTGTCTCCAATCAATGTGGTCTTAAGTCCAAGACTGGTTTCACAACAGCAACAACATTTGCACCTGAAATGATAATTTAGGGTACATAAACTTCAATATAACATCCAAGCAAGATAAATGTTGCTTGATAGCTTACTGCATACATTGTTACATTGAGTATTTCAGTTTTTATGCTCGAAATTGAATATAATTACAATGAAATCTTAATTTCCATGTTGAATAATCTAGCAATTTCTTTAAATTAAGCACTGTGCACGCAGTTTTTCTATTTATCCTCAACAAGACCCAGCGGTATATCTTTCAAAGTTTTGAAGAATCTTTAATTTGAAACCTCCTGAACTGAATTACAATCTGCAACTTAAGAACCCTTTCTTCAGGACTTAGCAAATGCGTTGACAAATCTAATTTTTGTGACTGTAATGCCAATTGTTAGCTAAAATACTGATCATATCACAATGAAAGTTAGACTTTTCTCTTTTCTAATTTTTCTCTTGTTAATTCAAACCCTGTATATTTGTATGTATGTGTGTTTGTTACCACTCATTTAGATAAACTTACATCAATTTAGGAAAAAGACTACAGCACCCTGTACACGGATTAACATATATGTAAAATGGCCAGCCATAGGCTCCCGCTGCATATCTCATAAAATGAGCAGTCTTTTTATAGTCTGCTAGAACTGCTGGTGAGGTAAGACGTAAAAATCTTGTGTTGGGACACACTGGCACTCCAGACAGAAACTGGTATATGTCATTGGTTCCCTGAAAATAGAATCTGAAAATTCAATACAACTTCCTGACTATGGCAGTTTATTCAGATTATGTGAGTCTAGCGCATACAATATTGATCAAATTTTGAAATAATTAATCTTTGACAGAAAGGAGAAATATCCATGCATAAGAAAAGTAAACTCTGCCACCCATAAAGGGTTAATACACAGGGGACATCCAGGTATGATGATTAATCATGTAATACCTCATGTCTGGCAATTTGGGCTGGCTGCTCACGACCTAGTTGAGAAAGTCTCAAAGGAATTTGGGCAAATGGGAAAAGGCTAGCAAATTCCTATGTATCAAATAATTGCAAAAACTTACAACACCTTGATGGTTATAATAATTCACACAGAAACGTTTTGATAGTATTATTGATTTAGAATTAATACCTTTGACGCAGTGATGGCCATTCGTTTCTTCTGATACTGTCGAAGTAGCACTAGCCCAGCCACTACATCTGAAGGGACAACATCCAATTCTCCAAAGTACTGGGTGAACAGATCAGCTATTTCTGCAAAAGTGGTGGTCTGAAAAACAAATGGAGAATGGCCCTTAGTCTTCATTATGCTATGCAGAACACTAATTTGGGCTACAATTAAACATAAAATAATCATATCATTTGTGAATTGATTACTAAGATGTCATTCCCTGCAAACAGAGTTTCACCTTAACTGTTATAAAATTAACTCAACATCACATGGATTCTTGGACATTTTCTAGCCTTGTGTGATGTCACATAGTGCCAACACCCTCATTTTAGGCAGATAATTTCCACTGCAATATTTTTTCACACTTGACACCTGCTGATCTTATGGGATGATCCCCATTGTTTCAATAACGGACAGACTAGGCCTGACTTACCCGTCTTCTGTCAGCTGAGCCCACACAACAGCACCACCATCTAAAACGCCTTTCCCAACGCTTTCTATAACTAAGCACTTGCTTCCTGAAATTCAATTAGAAATCATGAGACTGGAAAGATCCTAGATGCATAATGCATATCAAGAATCACTATCCTTTCTAAGCAATACAAAGTGAGCCCATCCCATCATCCCCATCCCTCTGAAATAAATCAATTGATGAATCAATTAATTAATTAATTTATCAATTAATTGATGAATCAATTAATTGATAAAACACACCATCAATTGATGAAATTAAAATGCCCCACCCCTCCAAACAAGAGAGTTCTTTATGGAACACACCTGTATTTTTCACAAGTATGTGATAACCATCCAAAAGATTAGTTCTGTTACTGTGGAGACACGACTGAGGAACATGTATGTGAGATAACATGACTGTTGATTTAATAATATGTCTTTCGTGTAACACCAATAATTTATTAACAAGAACATGTCTGACAGAGCTCAGGAATGATCAAATTAAGCAACTCATTCAATTCTCTAAACTGCAAAAAATGACTTCTCTATATTAGGTAATATTGACATTTTGCTTTAATCATTAATGATTCTCAAAACAGCAAACAGAAGTGTACAAAAAAGTCAAAGTCAATTTCTAACTGTCTTGTTTAATTTTTTGAATGCAAATAGGTATGACTGACTCAATCACTGTCCGACTAGCTTCACTGTCTGACTTCATGCAGGCAAAATGTTACTACAAATACTTTGATTGCACAATGCATTTACATACAATGAGGAGAAGATTTAACTGACAGAACAAATGGCTGTGGCGGGCTTGCTTGAATACTCATATCATTCTTACCGCTTCCTCCAGCTCCGTTGCTGTCGTAGGGAGGAATTATACTTGGTATATTTGACGTAGGCAGCTCCACCAGAATCAAATACACAGAAAATGGAGATCAGAACAAGTCCTAATATCAGCCAGCTGGTGATTAAAATACCTGAAAATTAATTGAAATGCATAAGTGGTAAACATCATCAACATTTCACTTTGTGAAGTGGGCAAGTTCGAAACCATCACTAAAACACATTCACTGGACAATTACTGATGTGTTTTAATGGCTGGAAATTAATAATTATTACACTATCTGGCAAAAATGACAGCTGTGCATCTAAGCATAAAAAATTCTTCACTCGTTCTCATATTTCAATTATCCAAGACAAAGAAAGACCTAATAAGACAGTAAAATTGGTGTAAGTGCCTGAATAGCAAGGCATCACATAGCTGATGCTAAGTATTATCAATGACGTACATTAAAGATAAAAATTTATCCCTCCACACTGATGCATGCAATTAATTACGCACCCATTTGTGACATAACTGATTAGTTTAACCAGAAGAAAATAGCCCTCTGTAACCAAAAGAGTGCAAAATATCAAGTGTGCATTGGCGTTAATTTCAGATCTTTTTTTACTAAAAAATCACTACATTTCCCATAGTCTGATAATCCTGATTAGTTTAAATTATATCATTAATCACCATTTTGATTAAAAGCAAAAGCAAAGCAAAACAAAACCACAAACAAGTAGGAGTAAGTCACTGTCATCATAAAACACTATGTGAAATGTGCTATCATCTCTAAAGGTACACATCTGAAAGTATAAATTACCAAGACTGCATGCAACTGCAAGGCCGAAGGATTAAAAGGAGCACTCGCATATTGTGTTCTCACATTGTGGTAGGAAGGCTAACTGTTTGAGATTATCAGTAATTTGAGGATTTCTATCAGGTTCACCACTGATATTGTAATTTTTAAGTGGCTAATATGAAAGAGGATAACTGCTACCCACTTAAAATCTAATAGGGGAGTGGGAAGAGGGTTGGGGACTACAAAGTGAATACTACTCTTGAAAAGAATGAAGTATACTGAACAAAATTTTTTTTTAAAGTTAATTTCTTTTTGAATGTGCCCTATTTCTTTTGCATAAGTTCAATTCTTGATATTCAAGATCAGGAATTATATTCATTCATCATGCACATGCCAAAGCATATCATTGCTGTAGGTAAAAAATTGCTAGTGTTAACAGTAACTGTTACATACAAATGCCAAAAATTACAAAATTTATTGAAAATGTTTCTTATTTCTTTATCACCATGTTCAGTAAAGATATCAGAGGTGACTGTATAGCAATTGGACACCTTGAAGATACAAAAGCTAAAACATGTAGTACACAAGCTAAGCGTCAGTCTTTTAGCTATAATATGTCCTCGGTGTATCATTGGGCAATCATAAAATCAATAGAGATGAAATTCTAGACAACAATACTGTTAGTGTGACTCTGATGTATGTGCTTAGTGATGTGTCAATAAAGCATATCATATGTAAAATGTTGATCTCTATATCGAGGTCAAGGAAGAGTCCACAGCAAAGTAAAAAACAAAGACAAATGATGCATAGTTATATGAGGAAATATTAACTTTGAGCCACTCAAATTGTGAATAAAAGTGGATTAAGACAGATTTATATCTGTATTGATCTAGGATTAGCGTTCTTTATCTGATTTTTTTTCCCAAAAAGACAGGAAAAGAGAATTTTGATATAGCAGAGGAATGCTACTAATGGAGCACACTTAAATCAATAATAAGTAGAAAGTAAATATTTGATGAAAAATTCACACAGGCTGTGGCGATGAACTAATAAATCACACTATGCTGAAGTATTATTTACAAAGAAGAACAAGTATTTGGATTACTAAAATCTGTCTTATTCAAGACCACTGATTAAAGCCTGTTATATTACTTTGATAACAAAACGCTATACTGAGATTTCTAAGAGTCCGATTCAAATTCGTTATAGGATGAATGAAATATTTGTGTAAGATAAAGACTTATATTAGACTATATATAGTCTTATAAACTTATAGTAGTCTTATAGACTTATAAAGACTATATTAGATCACAAGCACAAAGGTTCTAAATTTGATTTTAAAGCAATTCCCAGATAGCCAAGAAACCCAAGGACACCAAAATATATCATTTAAGCAGAAGGATTGTACAAATTTAAGTAAATGCTACCAGCTCTCCAACAATATGGTAATTATGGTTAAAAAATTTGATCATTCTGAACTATTCTGAGCTAGCAAAAGATGGAGCATACAGGAACAAGAGGCTGAACACCTGGATATAAATACAAATGCAGATCCACAAGTCCACGGTTACATACACTTACCCAAAAGTGCCCTTTTGGTGACATTTTCTGAAAGTGGTATTGGCACAGAACAACTACAAACATGTATATGAATGATACAGTAACATACAATTAATTATAGCACGGCTAAGTCCACAATCAAAGAATGCAGCACAAACTATTAATCTACTACCAGTAGTGATCTGTCTGCAATCACAAGGAACATGCCAGAAAAGTACAATGATTTTGAAGCTTACTTAATATCTTAGAAAGGACGTGTTAATATGCTACAGTTATCTGGTTTACATAGCACAAAACTGTTGATCAGTTTTCCCCAGCATTATATATATATATATATTACATCACTATCAGAAAAAAATACTCTTGAAAACAAAGGTTGCAAAACATACAAAGTAAATGAAAATCCTTTTCCTGTGCATAATGTGCATGGCTTTTAGCATTTAATTCTTTTTTCTTTTTTTATTTTTAATATTCCTACTAGGTAAGGTATTGTTGCTAGGGAAAATAATAATGTCAACACTACGTAATCAAATGATGAAAAACTAGCAAACACTGTAGAATATTTAAAAAAATAATAATAAACTATTATAAAACACTAAAAATTAAACTGGGGATAATTAGTCTCAACATGCAAACTAATGAAATGAGTGTGCCAAGTGCTGTCAAAGAATTGGAATTGTCACATTAAAATAGCTAAAAAAAATTATATCACTTCCAGTGCATTTTTAATCTAGTGTTACTTGAACAGCAAACATGTGCAAACTGTAAATGCCATTCAACATGCTGCCTGTGCTGTCCTCCCTGCCCCCCCCCCCTCCCCCAACACACAGAGGATTAACCAAACCAGACCCTCAAAATTCAATTTTCTCATATATCTTCGAACACACACACAAATTTCTTGAAAAATACAGCAAGAAAAAAATTTCCGATCACATGCACTGATTTTTTTTCTATTTTCAGCAAACATCGAGAAACAGTAAAAAAGGTATTTATCAAAACAACAATCATAAACATACCATTACAATTAAAAAATAGCATTACATTTAGGGTAATTTACTCCTATCTTCCTGCACCAGCATACCCTTATTTCATAAAGGAAACTGTGAGCACGTTAAGTAGGGAATAATTTAACCCTTCCTTTTAACAAAACATCCATAAAACATTCCCCTTGCTCTACAAACATACACCATATCAGGCAGTGGTAACACTTCCACACAATTTCTTTGCTCATTTAAATTCCAAAGCTGATAAACCCCAGGAAAATAAATTTCTCTTATGTAATACTGTAGTCTCTGTAGATCCTTTTATCAATCAGAGCTTCCCTACATGAACATTTCACAGCACGCTCTTTTTTGTGTGGGTGTTGTGTGTAAATTTTCTGATATTATATTGACAGAGCTCTTACCAAGACTTGCTTGCTTGGTTGCGGAGTCTGGGCAGGTGTCGTAGCTGCTGGCCATCCAGATGGCGCCGTAGATTNTAATTCAATTCTCTTAACTGCAAAAAATGACTTCCCTATATTAGGTAATATTGACATTTTGCTTTAACCATTAACGATTCTCAAAACAGCAAACAGAAGAGTACAAAAAAGTCAAAGTCAATTTCTAACTGTCTTGTCTAATTTTTGAATGCGAAAAGGTATGACTGACTTAATCACTGTTCGACTAGCTTCACTGACTACATGCAGGCAAATGTCACTACAAATAGTGTTTGATTGCACAATGCATTTACATGTATTGAGGAGAAGATTTAACTGATAGAACAAATGGCTGTGGGGGGCTTGCTAGAATACTCATATCATTCTTACCGCTTCCTCCAGCTCCGTTGCTGTCGTAGAGAGGAATTATACTTGGTATATTTGACGTAGGCAGCTCCACCAGAATCAAATACACAGAAAATGGAGATTAGAACAAGTCCTAATATCAGCCAGCTGGTGATTAAAATACCTGAAAATTAATTGAAATTCATAAGTGGTAAACATCATCAACATTTCACTTTCTGAAGTGGGCAAATTCGAAACTATCACTTAAACACATTCACTGGACAATTACTGATGTGTTTTTAATGGCTGGAAATTAATAATTATTACACTATCTGGCAAAAATGACAGCTGTGCATCTAAGCATAAAAAATTCTTCACTCGTTCTCATATTTCAATTATCTAGACAAAGAAAGACCTAATAAGACAGTAAAATTGGTGTAAGTGCCTGAATAGCAAGGCATCACATAGCTGATGCTAAGTATTATCAATGATGTACATTAAAGATAAAAATTTATCCCTCCAAACTGATGCATGCAATTAATTACACACCCACTTGTGAGATAACTGATTAGTTTAACCAGAAGAAAATAGCCCTCAGTAACCAAAAGAGTGCATAATATCATGTGTGCATTGGCGTCAATTTCAGATCTTTTTTTACTAAAAAATCACTACATTTCCCATAGTCTGATAATCCTGATTAGTTAAACTTATATCATTAATCACCATTTTGATTAAAAGCAAAAGCAAAGCAAAACAAAACAACCACAAACAAGTAGGAGTAAGTTACTGTCATCATAAAACACTATGTGAAATGTGCTATCATCTCTAAAGGTACACATCTGAAAGTATAAATTACTAAGACTGCATGCAACTGCAAGGCCGAAGGATTAAAAGGAGCACTCGCATATTGTGTTCTCATATTGTGGTAGGAAGGCTGACTGTTTGAGATTATCAGTAATTTGAGGATTTCTAACAGGTTCACCACTGCTATTGTAATTTTTAAGTGGCTAATATGGAAGAGGTTAACTGGTACACACTTAAAATCTAATAGGGGAGTGGGAAGAGGGTTGGTGACTACAAGGTGAATACTACTCTTGAAGAGAATCAAGTTTACTGAACAGAATTTTTTTAAAAGTTAATTTCTTTTGAATGTGCCCAATTTCTTTTGCATAAGTTCAATTCTTTATATTCAAGATTCATTTATCATGCACATGCCAAAGCATATCATTGCTGTAGGTAAAAAATTGCTAGTGTTAACAGTAACTGTTACGTACAATATCCAAAAAAATTACAAAATTTATTGAAAATGTTCCTTATATCTTTATCACCATGTTCAGTAAAGATATCAAAGGTGACTGTATAGCAACTGGACACCTTGAAGATACAAAAGCTAAAACATGTACACAAGCTAAGCATCAGTCTTTTAGCTATAATATGTCCTCGGTGTATCATTGGGCAATCATAAAATCAATAGAGATGAAATTCTAGACAACAATACTGTTGGTGTGATTCTGATGTATGTGCTTAGTGATGTGTCAATAAAGCATATCATATGTAAAATGTTGATCTCTATATCGAGGTCAAGGAAGAGTCCACAGCAAAGTAAAAAACAAAGACAAATGATGCATAGTTATATGAGGAAATATTAACTTTGAAATTGTGAATAAAATTGGATTAAGACAGATTTATATCTGTATTGATCTAGCATTAGCGTTCTTTATCTGATTTTTTTTCCAAAAAGACAGGAAAAGAGAATTTTGAAATAGCAGAGGAATGCTACTAATGGAGCACACCTAAATCAATAATAAGTAGAAAGTAAATATTTGATGAAAATTCACACAGGCTGTGGCGATGAACTGTTAAATCACACTATGCTGAAGTATTATTTACAAAGAAGAACAAGTATTTGGATTACTAAAATCTGTCTTATTCAAGACCACTGATTAAAGCCTGTTATATTACTTTGATAACAAAACGCTATACTGAGATTTCTAAGAGTCCGATTCAAATTCGTTATAGGATGAATGAAATATTTGTGTAAGATAAAGACTTATATTAGACTATATATAGTCTTATAAACTTAAAGTAGTCTTATAGACTTATAAAGACAATATTAGATCACAAGCACAAAGGTTCTAAATTTGATTTTAAAGCAATTCCCCGATAGCCAAGAAACCCAAGGACACCAAAATATATCATTTAAGCGGAAGGATTGTACAAATTTAAGTAAATGCTACCAGCTCTCCAACAATATGGTAATTATGGTTAAAAAATTTGATCATTCTGAACTATTCTGAACTAGCAAAAGATGGAGCATACAGGAACAAGAGGCTGAACACCTGGATATTGAATACAAATGCAGATCCACAAGTCCACGGTTACATACACTTACCCAAAAGTGCCCTTTTGGTGACATTTTCTGAAAGTGGTATTGGCACAGAACAACTACAAACATGTATATGAATGATACATACAATTATATTATAGAACAGGTAAGTGCACAATCAAAGAATGCAGCACAAACTATTAATCTACTACCAGTAGTGATCTTTCTGCAATCACAAGGAACATGCCAGAATAGTACAATGATTTTGAAGCTTACTCAATATCTTAGAAAGGACATGTCAATATGCTATAGTTATCTGGTTCACATAGCACAAAACTGTTGATCAGTTTTCCCCGGCATTATATATATATATACTCTTGAGAACAAAGGTTGCAAAACATACAAAGTAAATGAAAATCCTTTTCCTGTGCATAATGTGCATGGCTTTTTGCATTTAATTTTTTTTTCTTTTTTAAATATTCGTACTAGGTAAGGTATTGTTGCTAGGGAAAATAATAATGTCAACACTACGTAATCAAATGATGAAAAACTAGCAAACACTGTAGAATATTTAAAAAAATAATAATAAACTATTATAAAACACTAAAAATTAAACTGGGGATAATTAGTCTCAACATGCAAACTAATGAAATGAGTGTGCCAAGTGCTGTCAAAGGGATTGAAGTTGGTACATTAAAACAGCTAAAACAAATTATGTCACTTCCAGTGCATTTTTAATCTAGTGTTACTTGAACAGCAAACATGTGCAAACTGTAAATGCCATTCAACATGCTGCCTGTGCTGTCCTCCCTGCCCCCCCCCCCCCAAACACACAGAGGATTAACCACACCAGACCCTCAAAATTCAATTTTCTCATATATCTTCAAACACACACAAATTTCTTGAAAAATATAGCAAGAAAAAACTTTCCAATCACATGCACTGTTTTTTTCTATTTTCAGCAAAAATTGAGGCACAGTAAAAAAAGGTATTTATCAAAACAACAATCATAAACATATCATTACAATTAAAAAATAACATTACATTTAGGGTAATTTACTCCTATCTTCCTGCACCAGCATACCCTTATTTCATAAAGGAAACTGTGAGCACGTTGAGTAGGGAATAATTTAACCCTTAATTTTATCAGAACATCCATAAAACATTCCCCTTGCTCCAAAAACATACACCAAATCAGGCAGTGGTAACACTTCCACGCAATTTCTTTGCTCATTTAAATTCCAAAGCTGATAAACCCCAGGAAAATAAATTTCTCTTATGCAATACTGTAGTCTCTGTATATCCTTTTATCAATCAGTGCTTCCCTACATGAACATTTCACAGCAGCTCTTTTTTTGTGTAGGTGTTGTGTGTAAATTTTCTGATATTATATTGACAGAGCTCTTACCAAGACTTGCTTGCTTGGTTGCGGAGTCTGGGCAGGTGTCGTAGCTGCTGGCCATCCAGATGGCGCCGTAGATAATCCAGCCAAGTTCTGCCAGCAGAACAACTGAAATATAGACCAGACATGTTCCAACTATAATACTGCTTTGGCAAAATACCTTTACTGTATATAAATAAATTGCAAATTCTCAATCTTGATACCCTTAACTGATGCATGATTTGATTTTTCTTGTACTTTCAGCATAACTGAAGTTGAAATGTATACTAAAGTGAGTCAGACTTCAAAAATTTACAGGCACACAAGATCTTGATAAATGACTAAACAGACTTAAATATTACTGCACTACCTTTCTTGAAACATTTTAAAATGCATAAATACAATTTGCTGATAGTATGAAAAAATCACAGGCTTGATCTTTTCATCATTATAATGTTTATAACATTTATATGACTAATCCTCCCATCCCCTTAGACTGCATTCCCATAGATTTTTAGATCGATCTATCCCCAGGGGGAGTCTCACTAGATAGCTGTCAGCTTAGCTGGCTTAAATGTCTGTCCTGCCTACTAAAAGCTATAAGGCGGTAATTAACTTTCGTGCGCGCTCGCCTGACAGCAATTTAATGTGAACGCCCAGGGAGTTAGGTCGATCCAGATGGATCGATCTAAATCTGTGGGAACCCAGTCTAACTCTGACTTAACCTTACCCAGCCTGGCATATAGCAGGTACGGCATGATGGACCTGGGTCTGACATCCAGTATTGTGCCTCTGGTGCTGACCCATGCTATCAGGATTTCAAATGCCACGCTAAAAACTAAAATGGCGATGTAGCCGAGTAGACCTTTTCCCAGATCCCCTGTACAGTCAGTTGGTTGGTCGAAATCTATCAGCTCATAACACACGGAGAGGAAAATCAGCCTGAAATATA